GTTGCCAGTCTGACAAAGGCTGACGCTCCTGCTCTGACAGCCTCCTTCCAGTGTAACCTCTCTCTGTCAGCATCCCAACTCGAACAGAAGATGGAAGCCTCTGTGAGAGACCTTAAAGTACTTGCTTGCCCTTTTCTCAGAGAAAAGAGAGGAAAGAACATTACCACAGTAAGAATTACCTTATATCCTGAGCTTGGATTGAAGGATGGCAGAAATGGTTGATTCATAGAATCGAGAATGTGAGAGCTCTGTAGGACTTCAGAGTATTTACTCCAGCTTGAGATTTTATGGAAAAGGATGTTGAATTGCAAAGATGTTAACTGATTTAGCCATGTCTGCTAGTGACAAAACTGTGTACTACCTCCAAACTCATTCTCATTATACCATCTTTCGCCGAACACTATTTGAATTTTAGTACAATACCACATTCCTCTTCAGCTGTTGCTTTTGCTCCCTACAGTACATCCAATGAATGAATGAATGAATGAAAAAATTCATTTGGAGTCATGTGACTGAAAGAGATTGTTTTGCTATATTACAAGTTAACTTCAATTATACTTTCACATTATTGTTGAAAAATATGATTTTAATTACCATACCGATTTTTAATGTTAAATTGGTAATTTTATGTTTAAGAGCATCATTATTTAATGTGACTCTTTTGCAGTGTTATTTTAAATAAAAAGAAATTTGTGGACAGAGTGACTTGCATAAGGAAATGCAGTGCTAAGCTTAGTTTATACTTTATCATGAAACATTCTTTATTGGGATCATCTTCTTTTGACATGTCAGCAGAAAGCTTATGCTAATCATTCTATTTAAAGCACATCCTAATTTTTTTAAAACTGAAAAGTTGTGCAGTACTAATACCCGCATTCAAGAGCGAGGTTACTTTATTTATTTCTTTGATGATATTTAAGTATATAGGCTTTATGGTTTTAATAAATCAAATTTGAAGATTTGAAATTTATTCTGATAAGGACCTTTGAGGAAATTGAAGACTGACATGTTGTTAATCATCTGGAAACTATTCATTTACCTACTTTACTATATAGTCTATTTTTAAAAGGTGTTAACAGAACTATTTGTTTAACAGTTTCGAGTGATTTAGTGATCATAAAAATTATAATGAAATGCCAGTTCCATTTCCTCATTTACCTTTTTGTAAGTGTAAGATCTTACCATAGTCTTTAGCTCATATCTTTTATAGATATCTT